CGCACTCCAGTCTGGGCGACAGAGTGAGACTTCAACTCAAAAAAAAAAAATCGTGGTCTCCCGGTGAAGAGTGCGCCAAAACATCGCCCACCTGTGAAAGAGAGTCTGGTGAACAGTTGTGAAGTGCAAGCCAGAGAGCGGGACACGCCCTTCAGGATTCTGGGAAGGCATGCAGACCACGCCGATGACGCTTGGTGAGCCCTGGGAGTTCCTCAAAGCAAGTCTGCAGGACCCGAACGAGAACATGTTTGCAGACATGCTCCTTAAGGGTTGCTGCCCACGCATGTCAACAAGCACGTCAGTGCGGCAGAAAGTCTCACCGGGGAAGGCCCTGGCACCAACTCAGGCCGTTTGCGCAGGGGCTGACAGCCGTCCTTGCCTTGGGACGTGCCCTCGCTGTAGGCTCTTGTAGGCCCTGAGCTTCGGCCCTTCCGGCTTGTGAGTTTCCAGGGTCACTGTGCTTGTTCCCAAGCCTGTTTACGCCAGTTGTGCTCATTACTGTGCATTGATGATGGTAAATGCAACTTACACAGATGAAGGGTGAGTGTGAGTTATCTTTGCTGGGAAGACTAAGTCAAATGAGCCCCAAAAACTTGCTCATGACAAACTGTAAAAAAAAAAAAGCTCTTAAGTGACTGACAAGTGCTTAAAAGTTGGCTGAAAATGTAAAAATCTAGCATTCTGAATTCAGTTGTTGTGGAAGATGAACCTGTAAATTTCAACCAATGGATCACGGGTGTCGTTTACGCAAAAAAGGAGGAGCCTCTCTCCAGAGGACAGGAGATGCTGGCTCTATACCCAATGCTGGAGAAGGCATACCATAATATGCTTTAGGTGGATGTGAATGCTTTCATCGAAGTCATCTTATTTAAGAAGTGCTCCCCTTATTTTACCAGGTACCAGCTCCAGTCACACCAGAGAGAAGAGCCCCTGCCACTTGCGGCAGCCGGATTACACTGTTGGCTTTCATGACCTCCACCTGCCTCCATGGCTGTCTGCCACGCAAGAATCTCCCCGGGAGGGCTGCAGGCAGAACGTGTTTCTCGTTTCAGATTCGGGGCCTGGAAGTGCAGACGTGGCTGTCAGCGGCTCCCCCCGACTTCGCTGCTCAGTGAATGTCTCTGATTGAAAAGCTCCCTGAAATCCCGAGTTAGGCCACCTGTCCTGGAAGCTGGGACCCCAAGCAGGAAAGCTCAGGACATGCTGCCGGGTAACTTCTGGTGTTTTTACAGACCCATAAAAGCAGGTTAAGTGGCCGTTCTCCAAAATCTTATTTTAAAAAACCCTTCTAATCCCAGATGAGCTTTACCGGGAAGTCCCTCTTCCTAAACCTGCATCCGTGAACATTTATTTATCTTAATGCTTCCCATTCTGAACCTCCCCACCCCCGAAAGCCAGCCAACCCAGGCAACGGCCACCCAGCGACCCTTGGAGAGGACGGGCTCTGCTCCTCTGCCGACAGGAGTCAAATGCGACTGCAGCTTAGAAAGTGGGAGCCTTTGGTTTCCTTCACAGGTGCATTCACCCTGGACTGAACACCCGGTAAGGCCCCCATTTAGCAAGGAAGTGGGTTGTAGAAAAACACTTGCCTGGTGACATTCCACAGAAGGAATTTGGTTCGGGACAACCCAAGGGTATCAGGAGTCGCTCTCGACTGTCTGTGTCAAAGAAGCTGAAGTGATGTGCAGGCTGTGCTTCTCAGTGACTCCTGAAACTATGGAACGTGGACAAGCTTGGCGACATCTTCATGGCGCTCTCCTGTAACCAACTGTGTGTCCGTCGGTGTGCGGTTGTGAGAGTCACAGTGGTGAGCATGACAACACAAACCCACAACATGCTCTTGCTGTGATGGACAAATGCTGCAAAAAGCCTCCAGACACGTCTTTTTCCTGCAGACACCAATGACTGTGCAGCAGAGCGTGAGGTTTGGACGCCACTACCTGAGCCCATCTGGCAGCCTGATGATAAAGCATCAAGTCTCACTTGCACAGTTCAGCAGACGCGGGCGGGCTATTAGGCCGGGCGGTATCTAGCATGGTCATCGCCAGCCGAGCGGGGACATTCTGGTTTCCTTGCCTGAAGCCGTGTCACCGAATGACGTGGCATATCCCCGAAGGCGAGATTCGTATCTGCCATGGAAGCATGCCAGGTCCGGGACAGCCCATCACACACTCCTAAACAACCTGACAGATGTTTATTCCATCAGATCCTCCGCTGTGGGGGTCACTTCCTGACAGCAGCAGGCACAGCGTCCCTGGAAACACAGTCACCTCGCAGGTATCTTGTTCGCTTTCCCGGGTGCTGTGTTTCTTTCCAGAACCACTAGTGAACCCAGAAACTCTGAAGATGACTTTGGAAATCTGGGACGGCTGTGGCCGCTGTCATTCCCTTGAAATTGGCTTGCCTCTTGGACACATGTGTAAGATGGTTTTCTTGAGAGAGTCACCAAGCGTTTTCCCCACACTTCCACGTTTCTTTCCACACACTCTCCGTCAGCCAGTAGCACACACCGCCTCACTGCAGAGAAAGGGAGTCAAATCCCTGGCCTTCGAGTTTCCAAAGGAGCACCTGGCAGGGTGAGCACGCTTCCCACCCCAGGTGAGAAAGAGCCCTCGCTCCACACCAGAGCAAGGGGCGAGGGGCAGAGGCAGGTGGGCAGACACGGAGCCGCCGCACCCTCGAGAGCAGCTGCCGTGCCAGGGCCAGGCCCAGCAGGGGCTGGGAGGAGAACGCAGGACGGGCATGGGCTGCTGCAGGGATCCGTGCTGTCCTTCCACAGCAGGCACAGACCCCTGGACTCCCGCATGGCCCTGTGTCCAGCAGGGTTGGGGCACTGAAAGGTCTTCAAGGGGTCTGCAAGAGGGGCCTGAGAGCCCTGGCATCTCCGGCACCCCAGGAGGCATGGGGCAGCTCCGCGCGGTCACGGCCGCCTCAGCCAGGGCCCGCAGGCTCCACGCTGACCTGGAGACAACGATCCCCGGCCTCTTCCTGTGAGTTTGTCACATTCCTCCACGGCAAGTACACCAGCAAACACCCGCCACGTGCCGACCGCATAGCGAGCCCTGGGGGTCGTAGGGCAGACAGACAGGAGACAGAACAACGTGCACGAATGTGTGTGCACACGTGGGACGTACGTCTGAACACTAGAACAGAGGTGACCCTCTGCAGGCGCGGCCGGGGTGTCCAAGGCCCTTCTGACTTCAGAACGATGGCTCCGGGCAGCTTCTTCACCCGCCCAGGACGAAGCCACAGGAAGTGATTCTAGCTCAACTTGGACAAGGAAGCACATTGGGTTTGGGGCTTTGGGGGCAGGGGTTGCCTTTTTTTCCACTCGTCAATTACCTGTTTAACAAAGAGACCGTTAAATATGCTCAGGAGTTTTAAGATATATTTTTCATCCATCTAGAAAGGCAGTAGTTGTCTTATCTTTTTTTTCTGACAGTAGGATTTATTGAGCAGACACAAAAGCTCCCAGAGCAGGAGGGGACCCGAAGGG